ACTCCTCCACCAGTAGGCACTGGTGAATCAGAAAAAAATATATATCTACAAATTATTCCATTCAATCATTTTCTTGAAAATTATGATGAGGGATTTGTAATCTTCTAAATTAAATTATCAAAAACAGGATGCAACATTTCAATATTTTAAGACAACGTTTGGGAAATATATATATTTATGATTATATATTATACCCATGGGAGGTGTCGTACCCTTCTGCCACATGGCCCTTTAAAAGTTGATGATGTATCAAATTTCACATCACCACCTACAGTTTCCATTTCATCCTTCACTTGTTTGAATTAAGATCTTTGAATGATTTTGTTCAATTGGCTTATTTCAAAAATTACTGGTCTCTTTTGTGGTGCGTCATTCTCCAAATAGATGAAAACCGTATGTACAATAGTCACAGTTGATAGACATCACTAAGTCATGGTTTAGATTGTGTTTGGATTTTCAGTTATTACTACACCCAAGGTTTTTTTTATTAAGACAGACACAATCAGAGGTTAAAACTTTACTTTTTTTATTAAGGTAAATGATTTTCTTTTCTCATAATAATGGGGCCTTTCTTATTAGATTTAATTTGACTAGCATTATATCCATTTAGTAGACATATTAGATTTTTATAATGTTACATGTACATGTATTGTGGTGAGTGTACCCACATTGTGCTTTATGTACTTCATGTAAAAATGAACATTTCTCATATGTAATAGAAACACATTTCCATGGAAGAAAATTATATTCAAGTCTTTTCAAAATGATACACATAATTAAAACTAATCAATATTTTCATGAAAAAATGACTTATTTAGATGACTAAATGTTTTTGGCATTTAATGTTACATTTATGTTAGTTTTATTTTAAAACATTTTTTATGTTTTTCAAAACACACTTTTCGACATAATCCATTCAAAAACCATATATTTGATAGCAGATACAATCCTTTGTTGTCTGCCCTTCATAATCTTAGCAGATACATAAATCACAACTGTTGTAAAGGAGCACCACCCTGAAAAATCAATTTTTAAGAAACATTTTGAGCTGGTTGAACAGTTTTCGAGACGTAGCGGATACATAAATCACAATTTTGTAAAGGAGCACCACCCTGAAACATCAATATTTTAACTTTTTAAAAACATTTTGGGCTGGTTTAACAGTTTTCGAGACATACATGTACATGTAGTATCTAAATCTTAAGCAATACAAATTTGTGATTTCATTTTTAGATGTGTTTATTTCAACATTGAATTGTCAAATCTGATGTCACATGATTTTATAATTTTTAATCCAGCCCAATGTCAACCTTTCATAGTACTCAGATTCATTATCTAACATTTGATTAAAAAAACGAAACCAAAATATCAAAATTGATTCAATCAGATTAATAAGAGGCCCATCACATTTGAAGGTGACACTGGCTTGTTTATATCATCTGCGGAGGATGTTGAACGTTGTGAAATTTTCTGTTCCATCATAGATGTACATATCTTTGTAAATACTGAACTCAATTAAACCTTTATTGAACAGAAATTTATTTTAGAGATCCAGCTTTCAGAATATTGTAGTTTGTATAAACATTCAAAAGGCCTATAATGATGATTAGTAACATTTTATCTTTTTATACACCATTAAATTTTGTGGAACGACTACTGGTAGACTTAATCTACACATCTCTTACAATACTTGATCATTAGTTCTGAGATAAATAGATTTCACAATAATCACTGGTTGATCTGTTTGTAAAAGGATATTGAACTATATAATAGCTATTGAAATTTATTTTAGCTAATAATGATGACCTTATCGCAGTGAATGTCACTTTTTAAGAAATAATTTTCAGTACCTTACTCTTGAAGATGCAGTATGCAAGATTTAGATAAAAAGCCGACGTTCTTTTGCTACAATAGTTTAAAAAAAGATAATGAAAATATTAAAAATTTCAGTAAAATTTATTTATACTGAGCAAAGTTCTGAATGTTTGAATTTTTGACAAGAAGTAGCCTAACTAGTCTCAATTGTCAAGTACCATATTGCCACAATAATAAGTCCTTCAATCAGCAATCTCTGTGTGAGTGCTGTCTTATTAACATTTAACAAAGAAGATATATGACAGATTTTATCTAATCCACTCAATATCTTTTAACCATCTGATGGGCTATAGAGCTCATTATGGATTTCTAAAGAAGGAAATAGGTCTACAAAAGGCAGATTTAGCTCTTACATAATGCATTTTTTTAGAATGTTTTATAAATAGAATGCTTATATTTATCATAATCGTGAGTTGTTGAAGCATAGTTAACTCTATAAATGAATAAAATATTTATGACTTCAAACTGAGGGGAGAAATGTTATAATTTATGTATAGAATAAATGTCACTTTCAATTCTGATAGATAAAAACAAATTTAAATATATTTCTAATCACTGGCCATGTGACGCAATTTTTTTTAAGGAGACTGAATTTTACTTTAGTTAATTTATCATATTCATTTTCAGTTATTAAAAAAAATAATTAAAAGACTTGATTGACCATCTGAATAAATCTCTAATATCACCAGTCATAAGGAGGGGTGGGGGGGATCCTTAAGGAGACTGAGTTTTAATTAATTTATCATTTTCCACTAGTAAAATATATTTTAAAGACTAGATTAACCATTTGAACACTAATATATAGACCGGTATCAACTTATCTCTTTATTAACTATTGATGAGGCAAGTTCAACAAACTTTATTCAACCTTCAGGTATTAAGTCATGAAACCATTGAACCGATCTAAATCTTATAACCCATTTACTTTCTATTAAAGATTTTATAAATCAGTCTGAATAGATTTCTATCTATAACATTCACTCAACTTCTGATGTCACATATAAAAAATGTGGAGGTGTAAATAGTTTTGACCGTTAGTATAGATCCTATCTCTATAACCAGGAAAAAAACAACATATTTTTAGCATTTTATTTGGCCTCGACTAGAGGCATTGTCACTCTCACCAAGAAATGAGTTATCTCATATTCAAAATAATCATACTCTCATAATTATTGAAAAATCAAGCACCTATCTACATTTACATGTATCAGTACTTATAAATTAGTGATGTCTGAAAAATTGCTGTCTAATTTGCAATATGCAGGGGCGGATCCAGAGGGGGGATTTTGGGGGTCGAAACCCCCCCCTGCTCAGCTACATAAATTTTTTTTGTAAATCAGAACTTTTTATCAGAAAAGTTTATCTACCGTCTTCTTTATCCTTTATCGTCAGATGTGGGACAGGATGGGCACTCAAAGCGCGAGATAATGATATAGACATTATATGATATCACAATTGATGCTTTGCATCCATGAAATTGAATCACACTGTCGTATTAATTCATAATAAAAATTGACGTCAAACGAGATGTTGAATTTCTCTGTTTAAAAATGTCAAAAATGTGTGTGTGTATATACGCCATAATGACAATTAGGCAATGCCGGGGGGGGGGGGGGATACCTTGTCTCAGGAACCTGGCAAATCCCCACCTGCAAAAATTACTGGATCCGCCCCTGATATGCCAAAAATCTACTTTTTACCATTTTACCAATCAGAGTGATTCAGAGAAGAGCTCATAAGTGCTAATAAGTTAGTGGGTTTTTTTTTTTGGGTGGGGAGGGGTTTTTTTTTTTTTTTTAATTAGCTGCTGTCGTCAATCGTCATCTAGATTAGTTAATGAGAGGGGGTAGGCCAAAAATAGGATGCACTGTGAAACGTTACAAGTGGAGAACTTAGAAAACAGAAAGGTGAAGAGTGTTGCACCTCTCATTGGACCCCAGTGTTGTAATTATTGAGTGTGCATCTTTCTATGTTGGCTAAAATAGTGGAATATTTATGAAATTTTAACTTCATTAGTTCATCAGTTAGATATGGTATCTTCTGTTTATCATTTTGACATGAAAATATCTCATGTATGCACTGTGAGTGCATGTACAGTTTGATGTACTTCATGGTCATTGAATATGTAAATTTTTTTCTAGCCAATAATAACCACCAATTGACAGAAATCAGGAGGTTGTATACCACAAATTCATCATGATTATGTAGCGTAACCTAGAGCACAAAAATAGAAAATTGAGCAGGAAACATTTTCTTCTTCCCAGTATTGACAGAAATCAGGACGTCGTATACCACAAATTCATCATGATTCTGTAGCGTAACCTAGAGCACAAAAATAGAAAATTAAACAGGAAACATTTTCTTCTTCCCAGTTAATTAATAGAGAAATGATTTGTTTATAGAGAAATGATTTGTTTACAGTTCTCTTCTAAATTTTTATCAGACATCAAAAATAGCTACTGCATAAATATACATTCAGGCCTTTGGCAATCTATTGGTTCTTGTATTTTTTATGTAGATTTATTTGTTGTTCAAGATTTGTTTTCTTATTTGAGGACCTTATTAAATAAGTTATGAATTTGTTTCTGTGTCGACTGGTGGTTATTTGTAGATGTTTCTAATAAAGTTCGTTTTTTAGTTCACTAGAATTTATTTTTTTAGGTTTTGACTGTTACTTCACATCCTTAGTTTGTTATTATGTACTACACATGTATGATTTTGGGTTATATTTCATAAAAAAAAAAAAAATGTAGTAGCGCCACTGAGCAGCATATTGATAATTGATTTCATTTGCTGGGTAAATTCATTATTATTAGATGTACTAAGATATAAAAACAATGACATAAATAATCAAGACCACGATACTTAATGCAACTTCGATTAAAAAATGAAGTTAGCTCTCCCGTCAAATCAGTGGTCTGGAGACTGGAGTCCTGGACTTATATTTAAAAAGAATTTGAGAAAAAATAAATATGAATAGCATAAATCCTGAATAGTGTACAAAGTAAATGATATTTCTTAATATAATCCAGTTAAGAGTATTCAAAGTTATATGTTTTATGCAAAATGTATATTAATGTCCTTAGTTCTATTAATCTTGACAAACAAATCTTTCTATTTTTCAGAAAAGCATGACATAAATAACTTAAATAGTAACCAAGGGAACCAGTCAGAAAAAAGTGACCTGTCAACTATTCTAATTGACCAGCCATTGAATACATTATCATCCGACCCAAAGAACCAAAGCATTTCGAGTGACCATAACGAAAAGACCAACGGTTCCTCCGGACGATTTTTTCAATCTTTGATTAACAAAAGAGAATACATTCGTGGAAAAGTTCAGAACATCCAGAAAAACATCAGTAGCTTTCGTAATAAAACTTGTAACAAAAGTCCCAAGAAAGAGAGAAAGAGTCCTAAAAAGGAAAGAAAAAGTCCTAAAAGAGAGATAAGGAGTCCAAAAAAGGACAAAGAAATAGTAAAATGCTGCATTAACGAGGATGATAAGGAAGATAGTCCTATACATTCAGATAAAATACATTCAATATGTTCCGGACTCAGTAACTACCAGATATGTTTTGTAGAACTGATCGAACCAGAAACGAGCGAACCAGAAATACAAGTTGACATTGACACAGAAACAATGGCCGTCAAAAGAAAAACTGGCGTCTGCTCACAGACTCCATTACCAGAAGACATGTTTTATAAAACTGAAGATGAAAATCAAAATGAATTACCAGCACAAGGTGGTGCCGATAGCCAAACTACTGGTATGATTTTAATATTATTCTGACATGACGTATTGGATTTTCATTCAAAAATATAAGTATTGATTTGAAAGCTTATGCTATTTGGGCAAAATTCTCCTCCCTAGTATTGATCCTAGCAACTGTATGCTGTATATTAATATTATGTCATTCCTTTCAAGTCATTTTTTATATGAATATCTCCCATTTCTATAATCTGAAAAAGAGATCCATATAAGGGGATGTGTACATGTATGTTCAACTTCAATCATAATCTTGGCAAATAAGAAGATAAAATAACAGAGTTAGGATAATTACCGTAAAAAAAAAATGTCTATATCATCAATGATTTTTGTTGTAACTTTGTGACATGATTTTTATACATTAATGCTATAGTTTATAATCTGAATAAAATTGTAACATGTATTGTAGGTACGGAAACTGTTAGTAAAAGTTTAGATATGGAGGCAGATGAAGGAGAGGAAAATGATAAGTAAGTTCAAGTACTCCAAGACATTTTTTAATGGTTCAGATATCAGTTCTATTTATAATAGGGTTATATAAATGTACTGCCCACCTACTTACTAGTGTACTCCTTGATGTCATTGTTTGGACATTTTTATTGCAAACCTTGGTTTCTGACACTAGTAATTTATGTTAGTTTGGTTGTCTATAAAGGCGATAACAAACAAAATGTAAATGATAACAGTCAACATGACATGCATACATGTATATAATAGCTTTCTTTAAAATCAGTTAGTACAGGGATGCTGTTTCGGCTGTACATGTATATGCTGAACATGTCCTATATGGATTGGCAAACGTCTGACTGGGAATATGGCCAATCAGACATTAAAATATGACTGTAGGGTATTACTAATCTTGATTACATTTTTATAATGATAGGTGGAATTAATTAAATGATCAACACTTTGAAGCCAAGATCTGTTACTGAAATCAGTACTAACTATTAAATGAACAAACAAGAAGGTTGACCTCTAAGAGTAGACCCTGACCTTTTAATAATCAGTATTTGTTTTAAATTGAAAATTAAACTAAAGGACAATGGTAATATTTTAGAAATGAACAAAGCTCAAAATGGCTGGAAATGCATAGCAAGCTCAACTTAATATAGATTTTAGCATGATTAAAAGGGTTAAAATTTTGCCTTTTTATGATATGTTCATCAATTGATTTGGGTTTTAGTTATAATTTTGCATTTATATAATATAATATCTATACTATCTATTGATTTGGGTTTTAGGTTGACTCCAATTGAAGATGATTTACCTCTAGGCAGTGAAGGTACGTAACTGCTAATTACTCTTCAAATGTGCATTTTCTATTATTCAGGCCTTCAGGGGCATGTTTCAAACATACGCATGTCTCCCAATAAATAATAGTCGAATGTTGCATTTGTGAGCACAGCATGATTTTTTTTTAAATTTTTTTTTAAAATGTGGTTGAGGATTTTTTGTTTTAAATTTAATGTAATCTGTCACTTTGATTAGGAAGAATAAATTATGTGTTTCAGTGAACAGTGTTTCTGAAAAAATACATATGATATGAATCTCATTGTCGTCTGCAAAATCTGCTGTAAAATATTAACTGCTGTATACTTATGAAGTGAAACCTAGCGACTAAAATTTAAAAAAAAAGCATTCAAGATTAACATGTGCACACATCACTGACCAAATCCAATCAAAAGTCTTAGTTTGTTGTTACTGTAAACCTATTACAGTCAAGGGGTACTATATGTACTACTTTTATCAATTAACAGTTCATGAAAATACGCAATCTGCTTTGTTCTGTGATCGGCCTTATTGAATGATTGTGCAACGAAAGCCAACTTTCAGCATTTATACATACAGAAAATCAGACAGTTACAGCAAATTAAGATTTAAATAACCGCTACGTTTTCAGTCTATTGAATATCATTTCTTCATATGGTCAGCAGTTTCAGCACATGGTAAATAGGTTCAGCACTTGGTTTTAAAGTACTTGCATCTTTTAACATCTTTATATTATAATAAGAATAATTTTATGTATGATATAGGAAAAAACAAAAAAACATTTGAAAGAGGTTTGTACCATAGAAAATTGCTTATAACACACTACTAATTGCAGAGAAACTTCACTATTTTAATATAGATGATTGTATTAATGTCAATGAGAAATGTTTCCTTTGATTAGAAATTGTTTAGATATCTAAACTGTTAAATCTTTCAGTTACATTGATTTATAGAACCAGAACCTAGAAAAAAAGATTTAACATTGATCTTGGTATTTTTTTTTTTTTTTTTTAAAACAACAAAATCCTTGAAACCTAAAAGAAAATATTGACACTGTAACAATGTCTGTTCAAATTATATTTATGTAAAAACACTATTAGACATAACTTTCTCTCATCAAAACATATTTTCATATACAAGTGTTTAACATATTGTTAAAATATTGAAGTTAATCTTAATTATCATAAAAAGATGAATCACATATTGTATAACTTAGCATGAGACTGGTTTAGTTTGTTGAAATGTTATTGGTGTGGTAAATTAATCCATTTTAACAAAACAATATAACGAAGTCACTATAATTAATCTTATAAATTTATAAGTAGAATACTTAATGAGATTAGTAGTGTTGGATATAACAGTGCATGAATTAAAATTAACATAATTTTATATACAGACAAGGTAAGATTGTCATATGACTGTGAGAAATCTATGTTAAAGACTTTGAACGTGTATTATATGCATGCATAAATTTCTGAATTGGTCAACTATCATATAAATTTAAAATCATAGTCACTAATTATTCCAATTCACATTAATCCAAAATGTCTTGACACTTTTCCTAACCTTTTTTTTTCATGGCTTTCTAAGGAAAGAGTCAGGATAAGACCTTAGTTTTTGTCGGTTTCCAAACATTTGAGTCTTTGAGAATTTTCACACATTTTCCTGATCCACTTTATATTTTTTATACACTGATCAAATGGGTAACTATTATTTACTTTTCCAAATATGTTTCCCAGGTATGACTATGACTTGTATTTTGTAAACTGTGTCCAAAACAATGATTTCTATCAATACCACATGTCAGAAATATGAAATGTGGTAGATCTATTATATTTTTTACATTTGTGGGTATAAGGAGATGGGTCATTTGAAGGGTAAATTATTAAGCTTTTGAACAGTTTATCCCATGATATGATTTAGGGTTTGAATTTGTGTGAAATTCAAAAGAGTCTAACTATGAACCTTGGGTGGTTCTAAAAAAAAAAACAGGGCCTCTTCCTGACTCTACCCTTGCTGTCAGCTATCAAAAAAGTCCGAGAGTCAGACTAAATCCAATGTATCTTATTTGGACTTGAGTCCAATCTCAGTCTATCATTGTATAAAGTTTCTTATTCTTTATTATTTAAATCTGTAATTTGCATGAAACAGTTGTTTCCGATTTCAGATCTGATTAGTATTCATAATATTCACATCACACAGTCCTTATTTCTCTTTCCTTACTAACAAATTCCAGTGACATAATTATTCCACAGAAAAAATGTAGATTTATTATACAGATTTAATTAATGCCTAACCCTCATATATTTTATAGTTAGTTCAGATATACTCTTAACTTGTTTCGACATGTTCATGATTAGTAATCATTAGTAATGTGAATATCATAAAAGTTTGTCTGTTTATTATAAAATCATAATTTATAGAATTTATCTAGGAGTAAACATATGACTATCCTACAATAAAAATGTCAACACCATCAGTGTAGTCTTTCCCCTGATCAAATTGTTTGTTTCTTCAGTGAATGTATATAGGAATACCCTTGAAACTTGTATTTTATTACCTTTAATTAATGATACTTTCGTACGTACTTTTATTGTTATCATTGCCTTTAAACAAAATATAGTAATCATAATATAAATGTCAGTTGGGTCCTGTCTGCACTAATTCGTTTGAACCATAGTTTGATCTGTACAGTTAAATGTCTAAGAAATGTGATCCACTCAACTTACCGTGATGGGGGGGGGGGGGGAGTTTAACAAAGATCCTGTGTGGTTATTGGGATTATTGGAATAAGAAATCCAGAGAGAAACAAAAGATTATTGGTAGTCCAAAGAAGTTAGGCAGACAACTCCGTATCATGTTTAACATGTGGGATCAAGCTCACAACTTGCATTTTAATGATTCTCAGTTCGCTCATAAATTCTCTTTCCCCCTCCCCACTGCAGGAGGAAAAATACAAATATATGTGGAATATTTATTGAATGTTTGGTTTGCCTCCTACCTGTATGCCTATCATTTTAGCACAAAGGTAGAACAAAAATACGAGATTATTTACAAAAGGTAGAAAAAAAATACAAGATTATATACAAAATATTCAATTCCTCATAAAATCTTTAATTTGTAAGACATTTCTCTTGATAAATAAATTAATTCTTTCTGAAACACCCATCTTAAGATATTCTAGAAGTATGCACATTTTGTTTCTGCTACTTGCGTATGTCCAATGTGTCATTTTCCTGACAAAATTGATGTCCTTGATATTATTGAATATAAATATGGTTAATTTTAGATTATGCCCCAAAATCTTTCTTGAAAGATCCTTAAAACGGCTACATAAATGATATTTTATGTTCAGTGATACATTAAGTTATTTGATCTGACAAAACATTTGTATTCACGAAATTTATACCAAAGAAATTAACACAAAAACATTTGATTTTTAAATTTATTAAAATTTGTCATTAATAAAGTGAAGGTCATGGGAAACAGACATGAATATATTATTCAAGTAGTTTAATCCTATGTCCTCATTATATTCTTTGTAAAATGCACCTCTAAAATAATAAAATACTTGATTTATAATGACAATAAAATAACATGCACTATGTGTATGATTTTATATGCCAGTGTATTTAAGATTTTGATTTGAACTTTTGAATTCATATTTATTTATTTGTTTGGTGAACTTTTTGTTTCAGCTCATACATTAGCATCAGACATGTTCGGGTAAGTAATGTTTGAATCATTTTTAAATTTTTCTATCTATTCTTCTAGGATGATAGGTAGCACTTATCAAAACAAGTAATATTCTTATGAAACAGTATTAACAATTGTCGAGAGTGTCATGACTCGTAATGAAGTTTCTTGATTAGGTCATTCTACTTGATTCTCAAAGCACACAATGCTAACATTGGGAAGCTGAAAGAGATCAGTTAATGTTTCAACTACCATCTAATTTATTTTCACTAATTTGGTCACCATGTGTTTGACATTGAGCATCGGTTATGTTAAGCGACATATTTTCTCAATCAATTTACCATATCAAGTTTTTATAAAGATTTTTATTATAGTTTTTATACTCAAAAGCTCAAGCTTACGCTCAAAAGTAAAAACTGGGTGATTTGATGTTATATTTGGACTAAAAACATATTCAAACTAATTAATTTATCATAATTTTGCTTCAAATCCTTCTCAAAACATTGCAATTGTAAGGGAATACCCAGCTATAAAAACTCGATCAAAAGAGGTCAGGTTTGTGTCACGTGACACAACGGGTGCAATATCGGAGGAGAATTCATTGCATACAATAGACGGTATTGCATTTATCGCTGACTATTTATTACAAATATCGAAGCCTAATTAAATTCTCAGATTATCCACTGCCTGCGTCTTTTTCTGTGATTTTTATCTCAGAAAGTGTATGTTCAACTCTTCATAAGGTTTATCAACATGTACATCAAACGCTCAATCTCCGCGTGCAACCTTCGACGTCACGCGTGCATACACTCCTAATCGACAGCCCGACATTTTTGTCCTGTATGCACTCCATACGTGTTATTCAGGGACTCCAGTATTTTTCTAGTAAGATTGGATATTTCTACTTTCCATATAATACCAAAATTGCCATACTTTTATTGGAAATAACCACCCGATAAATACTTTTCCGGGAAAGAAGCTTTAATATGTTGTTTTGCTTGATTATAAGCAGTGCAAACGCTTATGATCCAATTTTATATCTCACAACTGGGATTAACATATTCGCAGAAAACACTGTTTAATACATGTACATGTACAATCTAGCACAACCAGTAAAAATTCCAAACACGTACCAGGATAGACTTGAGTAGTTTCTATAAGCTGTTATGGAGAGAAGATAATCCATTAACTAAGCAAGACAACTTTGTCACTGTAACCTTCCTACGTGAATGCACAAATATTTTTTTTAATGTCTGATTTGCACTTGCATTGAAATAAAGTAAAGGATGAAATTGTGATCTCGTTAGATAATAAAAGTCTCTTGGGGTAGTTTTAAATTTCATTTTCAAAACAAGTTTTTCAAGGCACTTGTTTTATTATTTATTCAAGGATAGACTTAGATTTGTTTACAAGAATTGTATCTTGTTAGCATTTTTTGGTCTATGTCATTTTTGAGATGGAGTTCTTCTGTTAGTAGTGTTTAACGTCAGCTTCCAAAGAGGGTGATATCACAGACAAGTTGTGTTATTTTTCTATCTTAACTCACATGCAAGTCAGAGGTGGCCGGCCGGCTAGAGCTTGAAGTGTGACACTGAAGACCATTAGGCCATCCCAACCCCCTAAGATATAGCCTCGTCTCTCTCTTAACCCAATGTTGGAGCACATTGTCATTGATTTTGCAACTTTCATAACAAATTATGATATGGTCTAATAATAATATATTTTCATATTTTATGAAGGATTAATGTGAATTTCGTAACTGGCCTTGTAAAGTTGTACAAAGTTAAGTGGGAAGAGAAACACAAGCTAATGTCAGTAACTAGGCCGGTGTCACTTTAGAAAAGAGAAACAAAAACTGTTAAAATTAATTAGTGAACAACATTGGGTACTCCAGGCTTTACTTTCGCCTTGTACCTTGTGTTAATATCATCATATTCAAAATAACTTAGACAGGCCTGATTATCGAAAATTCTTGCACTGACCGACTTGAAAACAATATACCTCCTTTCCCGACCATGAGAAACAAGTGAACCCTGGACAGTTTTTAGTACCATGAATCACAATTATGTGGCTAATTCAACTATTGACTGTGTGTTTTTATCCTGATTTATTTTTTAGAAAAACAGGACATCAAGTTTTGAACTTTTTGAAGAATTCCAAAAAGATTTCCCTTGAGCCACTTTGTCTTGTATTTTGCATACAGTCTAGATGGAGCATGCTCAACTTATGTGTATAGTAAAATCACATGAAAATGAAAACTGTTTTTTTACCAACTGACAAAGGCCCCCAAAGCACTAATGTCTCTTTACTGTTATCTGAAAACCTGCCATCAAACATATTACACCATTTGTTGTGTATAGGTAAACTATACTATAACAGTTAATAGATCTGATAGATAAATTATCAAGCATTGCCAAAGGTGAAAACATTAGAGCTGACTATCATGGCAATATGATACCTATATAGATTAGATTTACATGTTATATACATTGTCCATCATCATATAGTATGTTATAGATATAATTGACCAAAACAATAATATTTGTGGTGTAGACCTACATGTTTTGGGGGAAACTGAAACTGATAATATGTTTTTATTAGTTCATTGTTAAAACCTTTCTGTTTTTTTATGACAAGATATTTTCTGAAAGGAAGGATATAAAATTAAACAGACCAAATATTTAAGTGGATATCTTGAGGGCAATTCAACATTTAACTACACATGTTACCATGTATAAGCTGTGTTTTCTTTTGACTTATGGTACTCTGTTATCCAGGTCTAATATAAATTGAGCTGCAACTAGCTGAAATGTGATTATGCATTCTTTAATTAAGTGGTTATTTAGTAGAGGACAAATACATAAGTATAAGAAATAATTCTACGGATAACAAGCAGAAAAAAATAATTCTTTTAAACAAAACATCAAAGAGAGTATTGAAAGAAATAGGATTAAAAAACCGTGATTAAATAGTAGGCCCTAGCATGATTTAAATGTTTAAAGTTCAACAAGTGAGGTCTGTATTACAGTTAATTAAGATGATTTACATTGATGGTGATGATCATATATTATTTATAATTAAATAGATATTTATACAGGGACATGGCTTCATCTTAATGTCTTTTATTATATTTTCATATGTGTTAACTTTGTTTTTTTGCTTGATTAAGAGACCGTAGAACCACATCGAAACATCCCTTTCTCTGAATAAATTCAGTAGTTGTTATCTATAGAATCGTGTCTTATATTGTGTGATGATATGGTTATTCATTTATTGTATTTTTTTGTAAAATGTACTTATAATTTATGATATAATGAAAATTTTTGTTATGTTTGTAGGAGTAAATTTAGTGCATTAATTGATAAGCGTCTTGCTATGTTAAAATCTAGTCAAACACCAGGCGGTAGCTTTGATTCGGTCAACACAAGTTCCTCCAGTATCAACAGGTAATATAACTTTAATATATCTTCCTTATGCAATACATAATTAAATTTAGATGAAAGGAACTATTATGCAAAATCCATTTAGAAACCAAATAGGATCTTGAAAGTTAATTTACTTTTAACATGGCTTAATTTGAAAATGAGTAGAAAACAAAGTAATATATAGCATATTAAATGCAACTTTCTTTAAATTAATAGATTGTAATTAGATAGACCATTTTGAAATTTACTTAAATTAGTTAAATGTTGATTATTCTAATTTTTGGCATGACGACATTGAATTTAGCACAAAAGTCTTTTTCTGTATGGTTAACCATACGTAAGCTTATAAAAATATATTCTTAAGATGGAACAGATACAGTTGTTGCATTGATAATGTAGAAATTTATGTTTGATAGTATCAACAGTGGTTTCATACACATCCTCTTAATTACAGTGTAGATATGTTGCTTCAAGAACGCAGTGAAGATCCTGAACAAGTTCTCCTTAACTTAGGATTTGCAGCAGGACATTCGGAAATGGGAAGCTCTTTAAGTAGAATTCCTGAACGATTCCTTCTCAACCAGTCTCGTGCAAGAGGAATTAACTTAGAAGAGTTCTTGGAAGATAATCCAGAATTGAAGACTTTTGTTGGAACATTGAAGAAGAAGGGATCACGATCAGGTTGGTCTAATTCTAGTTATAATAATAATAATAATAATCATGTTACATCACCTGTTCTAGAAATAGATCCTGATCTCATCAAAATACTGTTGACTCGCATCCCAGCCTATTTCTGGGAGCGAGATGAGAATGATTGTATAACAAATGTTCCGAAACACGGAAAAGGACAAAAGCCTGTTTGTGATATTATCATTGAATGTGCGTCTCCAGAATCTGAGACAAAAAGTGAAAAGGATAAATCACCCGTTTTTGAAGAAGAAATCAAAGAGGAAGGAATGATTGATGAAGTTTTTAAGGATGAATTTGACCCATTGTCAGATCTACCTTCTGAATTATCATCAGCTAAACATAATGATGGAGGGTCATCATCAGGGTCATCAATAACTTTTGACCCCTACCCTGATGTTGACCTTTCACCCAACGAAACTATTGTTTAATATTATTTCTGAATCGGCTTTTTCATTTGTTATTGTTATTACATGTTGCTGTACCGGTATATTACAAATACTATTTTAATGGGTTTTTTACTTTTCTCCAATATTTCCCTGTGATATATTCTTTTTTTGTCCCCCGCCTTTCGAAAAAAGCTGGGGACTATTAAAATGGGTCTGTCCGTCACACTTTTTGGGACACAATATAACTCACCTAATTGAGCTAGAATGTTCAAACTTGGTGTGGGTGTTTATTAGGTCAATGCCTTGATGGAGTTCGAGGATAAGCATTTTCTGCTTAGGTTAAGCAGAGATAAGCAATTTGATTGGGTTGATGCTTTGGGACACAATAATTTTAGTTCTAATTAAGTGAGAGTGATGAAACTTGGTGTATAGTTTCATTATATCAATACCTTGACTAAGTTCGATAATGAGAATTTTCTGCTTAGGGTAAGCAGAGCCATAAGAAATTTGATTGTCCGAGACTTTAGATCACAATAACTGTCCTTATAATTGAGCTATAAAGTGTTTATTAGGTCAATGCCTTGATTGAAAAAAATAAATATGCGATTAATTACTATATGTGTCATCTATTTATTTTGGGATTTCAGTGGGGGACATCAGCCTCACTGTTGGCTTGCTTTTTTTAAAAATTACACATTTCTCCTCATAACTAATTTTCATTGACCAAGACTTTAAGTTTGAATTGAAAAGAAACGTAATAAATATTGATGAAACTATTAATAGTATTAATAGATACTTTAATAGCAAAAATTAATATGACAAAACATGAAACTGAACAATCTACAATATCGGCTTGCTTTTGTCCAGTATGCCCATATTGTTATTCAAATTCTATCTTGGAACAGAGGAAACAGTTTTTTCAATTTTATTAGATCAAATCAGCTAAAACACAGTATTTGTCTAATTTTCAATTTTATGATGTTATATACAGTTTGGAAACAACTCTAGAATTTACAGTTCATTTCTTGTATTCAACATTTGTAATAATGACCTCTCCTAATGACCACTAAAGTATATATCTTTGTTGTTGAGTTACAGCCATAAACATGTCCCAATAATTATATTATGAAACTCAATTTAATATATTTTCTGTGACATTTTTGGAAAAGATATTAATGTGGGCTTATAGAACACGTCCTATAAAAATTTTTGATAGTTGAATTATACAAATAGACAGTGTATTAAGGGAGTTATGACTTAATTACAAAAAACATGTGTTTCTGTCAAATTTACAGAATCACAGTGTACATGTGCCTGAAAAACTTTGAAAACTTACAATAAAAATGTGATCTTCAGTAATATTATATTACTTTTGAAATGTGCAATTTTAAAATCTAAAATATTTTTTATTCATTTGAATTTGAAGTTGTTTTTTTTCACTTTTTAAAGATGTCCATAACCATACAGTGACCCATACTTAAAAAGCTTCTCAAAAGTGTATGTATTTGTAACAGCTGCTGAAGCGAAAAAAGTCTAAATTTTAATGATCGAAATATTATACTATTCATACATAGAATTGCAAGGCACTTTATTTTTTGTACCCTGATGAGACACTTGTCACAAATACTGTGTTTTAGCGGTATATTTAGTATGTTTGTTCACTGTAAACATTTCCCTTTTTTGAACCACTTGACTTAATATAATTAGGGAGCCACGGTAGCTGAGTTAGTAAGCAGTTGACTCGCTAACCTGGGGGTCCCATGTTCAAATCCTGTGGTGGCCGAGAAACTTCTGGATTTTCCGGTGTGGTACCCCCTTGTCAGTAGTGCAGGACAGTGGGCCTTGCGAGGGACAACGTATGGTCATTCGGATGGTACGAAAAACTGAGGTTCCATGCTAGTCTCTATAGGGTCTGTGCAGGGGCAGCTTTAATACGTAAAATCTTCTTCAAAATTTGGTAGGAATCACATAGATAATAAAAGTTTGTTAAAAAAAAAAAGATAGTACTGGGCATAACATAGGGTAAATTGAAGCATTTCTGAAAGCCATTGGAAGATTTTGATAATATTGTTATGAATGTTGCTCAGGTTGCAGTTATCCAGGTTTGTTAATTGCTAGACATTATAGGGCTGGGTCAGGGGAACCTTGATTGGACATATTTATGTATTTTTATTTCATCCAAATTTGGTAGGCTTGTTGAATGAGTAGTACATGTCTGGAAGAGCTACATGTACCTTGAAGGAGAAAACATTCGACTTCTTTGCCTAAACCAATCTATAAATTACAATCAAAATTGGTAGATATTTTGCCAGGGCGATGTTTATTCATATTCTTTCAAATAAAGTTGCATGAACCCTTAGGGTTAGGAACCTTCATTGGGCAAATTTAGCATTTACTTATTTTTATGGTCTATAGTCTATGTTATAGGCATTCACATTCTGACTAAGTGAAATCTTAATTGCACACATACTCTTGTTTAAGTCTCTTAAACAAGCTTTATTGATTCTCGCAATTTTTCATATTTCCTGACCTTTTCAGGACCAAAACTTTTTTTTTACTGAATTGTTATCTTAAGATATTGCTCATAGTGTATGATCTCTCAGTTATGTTGAATTATTGATTTAAAGGACCATGAGTAGATGTAGGATAATATATCTTAAAATCCTTTTTGGCTGCAATCTATTGTCATGTAAAGTCCTAAATTTGGCTTCAATCCATTATGTCATGTACATGTATGTCTGTTATATTTGGCTTCAATCCTTTGTGTCATGTAAATTCTATTTAGCTGCAATCCATTTTGTCATGTAAATTCTATTTGGCTGCAATTAATAGTGACATGTAAGGTGCATGTATCATTGTGACCAACACCTGTCATTTTGAAACATGGTAAGTTATAAGACATATGAGATAATTATAAGCTTTCGTTCTACTGTTTATCTTCGTATGGTACTATAAGCAGATACATGTAGCAGCATTTTCAAGTTACATGTAATAAATAAGGTGACTTGCCATGGCATGGCACACCTACAAATGTCAAAACTATAGTGCTAAAGCTGAAGTTTATAATGTACATGTATTAGTAAATTGTTTCTAAGTATTAAGCCAAAAGCTATTTATTTATTAAATCAAAATGTATGTATTGTAACAAGTTTGATATTATGGTAATCAATATGAAATTAAGAACTCTTTTCCAAAATGAGATCAGTGCCATTGGAACTTATCCTTTTCAAAACCCATTTTTCCAGACATATTTCTGTCATCTTATTAATAATGATAAATCAGTAACCAAGTCTATGACTCCATCCATTGATGTTATTATTTTTAAATCTTCTTTTGAAAAGGAGCTCTTCTAAATCTATATGGTCAGTTTTGATGCTGATGCTTTTTCTGGTTGTGTCTGATTAATGTGCCATATTGGAACAAATAGATATGTCTATCTATATGCTAGGATATTAATCCCTTTCATTTCATTTTTTGTCTCCAAGTCTCATAAACAAAATTTAAATCTGTATTTTAATCAAATTGAGCTTTTATTCTATTGAGATTATATATTTAAATTGTTTGTACATGTATATGGTATTTATTGAATGTTATTATTGTCTGTTATATTATGACTGCTGTGAATTATTTTTAACCTTCAAGGCTTTAAAATATATTTATATTTATTCTCTATATTAATCCTTTCACATACTGGTATTTCCAGTTAGCCGTTTACTTTTCACACTACAAATAAAATAATACGGAAACGGTTTGGTTTTTTTTTGAGTGGTAAAAACCAAATTTTAAAGATGGGATACAATCTGAAATTGGACCAGTTGTGGACTGATAGTTCTTTAAGAGGTGCAACTGTCATATTATAGTAGTTTGCCATCAAATTATTCAGCCCAGAAATATCAATCAGAGACTCTATGCATCATATATTATATTACCAAGTAAACTCACAAATTAATTAAAATGAAATTTTTAATGCATATTCTCATTAAATGATTGGAAAGTTGTAAAGAATAGTTGGTTATTATTGATTGAAAGACACTAGGATAAACATATATATTTAGATTGTTCTTGATTTGTATTAGTATTGAAGCCCAAGGATGTATAACTCTGAATATTCAAAATGATTGTTCCCAAGATAAAAGCAAATCAACATGAATATACACATTATAATACAAACCCATTAATGCATTTAATGCTTATCTTTTAAATGTGCATTATTTATGCAATAATAAAATGAGGAACTTGTCAGGATTTTAAAACATTTTGAATAAAATTGTCCAAAATACTTGTTCTTTTAACCAATTTTTTATGTTAAATTTTGATTATTTTTATATTTAGCTCCTATATCAGGTTGTTATTTTTCTTTTTAATTTTACATCTTTTTTAATATTTTGTTTTTATTATTTGCAATTTTGTTTAACTGTACATTAATTTTAATGTAATTTGATTATATATCTCATTATTTATTTAAATTATTGATGAAATGCAAATATTTTGTTATGCATGAGAATCAGTATTATTAGAAAATGTAATTTATTATGTGTATCGTATTTGACCAACAAAGTGCACATATTATATGTTCCAGGTTGATGTAGAATAGTCATTTACATG